GTGTAGATGGTGAAGAGAAACGGTGAGAGGACAGTGCCCTGAGGGGCCCCAGTGCTGCAGACTACCACCTCAGACTCACCGCTGCGCAGCCGCACGTACTGTGGTCGATCTCAGAGGTAGTTGATGGTCCATGCAGTGAGGCTACTGTCCATTCCCGCATCCACCATCTTCCCCTGCAGCAGTGCCGGCCTGATGGTGTTGAAAGCACTGAAAAAACATGACCCTCACAGCGCTCCCTGCGGGCTCCAGGTGGGAGAGCGTCTGCTGCAGGAAGTAGATGATGGCGACCTCTACTCCGATGTTGGGCCTGTAGGCGAACTGCAGCGGGTCCAGGGTGGGGCTGACCTCGGAGCGGAGATGGGTGAGGATGAGCCGCTCCATGGTCTTCATCAGGTGGGAGGTCAGTGCGACTGGTCTGTAGTGAGCCGGTTCCTTGACAGATTACTTACCACTCCAAAGTGGAGTATCTGATTTTTTTTGCAACGTAAAACCAACATCTCACAGTGTTTAGGAGAAGTGCGGAAAGGGATTCGGTCCAGCTCAAATACTTTTCTTTGTTGAACTGTAGATGATTAATGTGAGGAGAAGGGATATTTCTTCTTGAATTGTAGATGTCTGAACACTTTTAACAAGTGTTATGAACAAGTTCTTTCAGGACAAATAGTAGAGGCCGATGGTGGTAATACTCTAATATCAGCTTTGATCAAGAAGCAGATGCCTTTTTATTGCAACTCATTACTGCTGTCATACTTATTAGCATATAAATGGCTTCTAGGCCTGTGGAGGCCTAAAAGTTATTGCTTGTGTAATTGAACCTGATCTCCACTCTGTGATTGAGATGTTAAAAGTGCACAAGGTTTGGAAAAGTGTTGAACTGATCACAAACACTCTACTATAGTTAATTAATGAAATCAGAAGAAGGAAATGTACAGCCCTGTTTAATGTTTTGACAAGTGGATTTATCAAGTGGCATGGTAAACAGTCAGCTGTTGAAGGAAGTAAGGATGTGACTAAATAAGACAAATATCAGAATCAGAATCATTTTTATTGCCACGTAAGTAACAGGAAAAAATATATACACACACACGCACGCACACACACACACACACACACACACACACACACGCAATTTTGTAATTTTTATAATCAAATGAATTATATGAATGGCTCCTTCTGTTGACCATCAGTGCTGGCTGGTTAGTTAATTATGAAATTCATATGGGGGACTCTCTGGTCCCTTCAGGAGATACTTGTACTTTAGATATACCTTGAGACTTAAATATTTTCATGGCTCAGAGTGAAAAGTTTAGGATTTATGATTATTGATTAGCAATTAGCAAATAGGCAGTTTTTGTCTTTATTCTTCAAGCCAGGAGATGCAACGTCAACGAGTGCCTCTTTTCAGCAACAAAGTGCAATTCCTATTTAGTTTCTGCACCGTGATGTCTTCATGACCGCTTATGACCTCAACACAACAACAGTTTTTCAGAGGAGACATGACTTGAGAAAATATGAATCTTGTTACACCTCTCTCCCCCCTGGAAATCTGCACATAACATAGAGCGCATCAGCTCAATTTACGTCCGTTACAGAGCTCCTTGCGGCCCAGCTCGCAGAGAGACAGAGCCACTTCCATTTGTCACATAAAGCCTTCATCACGCTGTTCGACCTGATACACTTAGATGTGATTTGTGCATTGTGCTTTCGAGGCCCAGATGGATGGGGAGTGCTCTGCAAAAGCTGTCAGTCTCCGTCAGGAAGGGACATTAAATTATCACATCCAAGGCTGTGCTCTACATAAAAGACAAGCGTGAACACATTGCATTTACTGTGCGCGCATGTGTGTGTGTGTGTATGTGTGTGTTCAGTATATGAGATAGCAGGAGAAGCTAATTTTTGTCCATATGTCCGTCACCATTCGTCATAAGATTTTTCACTGGGAATCTACCACAATGTCACGCCTTTATCAAACGAGAAATTGCTAATAAAGGTATTACAAACATGGATATTCTTGTGGTCATTTCTCCAAGATGCAGGCCAGTATTGGGTGCAACTCAAGTAATTAGCTATTGTGATTAGACTTCTTTTTAGTAAGTAACTAAATTGTGTAAAACGTTACTTTTAAAATTTAAATATACTTTTGACTATATTCCTCGATCAGATTACTTAGTTACTTGCAAAACTGTCTTACATAGTTTAAAGATGCCAACACTTCTCTCTGGGATAGAGACAGACTGATGCTAAACTCCTCAGAAAGCAGCAGCAAACAGTCTGCGGAGATGTTTGCATTATTTAAACATCTTTTAATAAAACATAGGAGCCCATATATTATTAATTTAAATTATGTTTAAAATAATCTTAAGGCTGTATCTGAGAAGTTTAACGGATCACCTTTAATAACAAGTAATCAGAATCATGTAACTAATTACTAGTAATTTGGACGCTCATATGTAGAAAAAACTGCATTAGATTTTAAATACGGCACATGCATTTGAAAGAAGCAATTTTGGCTTATATGTCAATATGGAGAAGAAAATAAATAGAAAAATAGAAGTAGTATATAGTAGAAATACAAGGAGATGTTCGCATTCCTTCTTGCTCTAATTTACTAATGAGGGAGTCTGTGAAAAATTGCAAATCTTCTAGTTTGGCTGGCTTAGAAAACACTGATGCCGACCTGGGTGCATCCAAATGAGATATTGGCACGTCTGCAATTATCACACAGTGGGAGTGCAGCCCTGGCTCAGTCACCCCACTGCTCTAAATCTGGTGCTCTGCTCAACAGTTACAATGCAACCAAACAAAGGAAGACAGCATTAAGGATGTTTTCGCTATATACGTTATCACATATATGTGTATTTATATGTGTATAAAGCATGATGTTTTTAAGCTTCAGTGATTCCCCAACGTTCTCATTATGCGCAACCAAGAAAATCAGACATGGCCTTTGAGTGCCATTGTATCTAAATATGACAGGATATAGGGATAAGGGGTGACGTTTTAGAAAAAGTATTTGAACAGAAGAGAATGTGAGAGACAGAACAGAACAACAGAGAGAGTTGGTGGCAATATCCTCCTTGTCTTTGATCAGTGATCCATGGGGGAACCAAACTGGTACTGATACCAATGCTGCTTCACATTCCTCCTGAGACTTGTGAGAAAGCTCTTTTAGTATAATAGACTGTGGCAGCCGTGAAAAGAAAACCCATCACTGCTTTAATAGATGCCAGAATAGATCCAGCCAATGCAATAGGACTGTTCCCCTGTGACTGTCCAGTTTATTTTTCAAGACCTAGATGACAAATGAGTCTGTTCTAAATAAATAAATAATTAGAACGTACGGTAGGAACACCAGGTGCCATAGTGCGGCGGCTGCGGCTGTAAAGTGCCAAACTGCTGTTGTGTTTTTAGGCGATACACTTCACCCAAATTGCCTAGAATAAGTCTGTTGTGTGCATGAATGATTGGTTTCCTTGCTTCTGCCAGTGTGCCCAAGGGCAGCTGTGGCTACTGTTGCAGTTTGTCACCTCTGTGGATGGAGTGAATTAATAATGACATGTGAAGCATTGAGGCCAAAAAAGCCCTGTACAAAATTGATTCATTATATTTATAATACTTGCAAATTGGATTGCAAGTATTCAAAATAACACTATAGTGATTCTCAAACTATAGACAAACAAAAACATGAAAAAAACTGCTACGAGAGTGTGATTTGTAGTAATCAGCCATATGTGTCACAACAATTGATAAAATGACTTTAAAGCTGGGTACATGACAGAAGAAACGTTTTGTATTGTAAACAGTGTAGCTCAATACATCTAACTTGTTCCTCACACTTAAAACAGTTTGCTTTCTTACACATTTATTTGTGGCCTGTGTCACATATTCAGATCTGCTCTACAAGTACAAACAAGATAGATAAAAAGAGAAGTTTGTGGTGGGATTTTACTTTTACAAGACTCTTTCTGTCGGGTCAAAAAATGTGTGAAGGAGAAAAAAAGTTATGCACCCCAGCTTTATGTTACAATTATTAGACAGTTGACACATCTGCTCGTAAATCACAGTTTCATTACAAATCAGTGCCAGTCATCCTTTTGCCCCGCCCACCGCCTTGCCCTGACGTCACGCCTGGCTGACGTGCTTACGTTGCGTGCTTGCCTTGCAGTCTGGTCCTCACAACAGCACCTTCTGATTTCGTGTGTGGCTCCACTTCAGCGCTTACATGACTCCAGCCGCGTACAGAACCACACACCGGCTGTTTTTACTCTGACATAGCCCGGGATCCGTTGAGGATTTTGGGAAAGACGAAGATCACCTGCCTCGCTGTGTGGTCACTTTCGAGCAGCGTGAGAGATACTTTGATGCCTCGCCGCTTTGCTAACAAGCTAACTCAATGTTTATAGAAACTAGCCAGGTGGTTAGCCTGTTAGCCAGCCATACCAACTCTAAGGCTAGTAATTTGTAAACATGTTCCACGCTGGTGTACAGTCACATAACTATCCAAATAGCTTTAATTTTACACGTTGTGCCTGAGTGTGGCTATCCCTAGACGCCGGCATCCGCTCACAGGCTTGTTTTCTATCGGGACAGTAGTGAACTCTCCGGGCAGTCTGTTGCTTATTCAAGTTTGGACTAGTTTCATTGAATGCTCGTGGATGTTAAGGAGGGTCAAGCGAGTCAAATGTTAAGGACAGGATAAGCGAAAAGCAAGGAAGGAGGTGAGCTATGTTGTTGTAACTCGTCGGAGTAGCTATTCCAAGTTCAATCCATGCAACTATTGACGAGGAGAAGAGGTGGATGAACTTTAAAAGTCGCCCACATGCGCTGGCTCAGTTCCCGGACTTGTGAAAGGTTTTTGAAGCAGAAGGTGGGAGACGCCAGTTCACAGCCCTTGCAGCCCGGGGGAAGATGGCGGAAGGACCCCCGAGAAGGAGCTGAGACCTCAACTTGCAGACTCCTCAGATTTATCACGACACATCTGCGCCCCGATTGTTGGACACATGCAGGCCAAAAAACGCTACCTATTCCTGCTCTCCACTGGTACGTGTCTCATCCTGCTCTTTTGTCTGGGGGGCTTGCAAGTTCCCGTGTTGTCCAGGCGGGGTCACAGCAGGCGTGATGACCGCAGCCTCTCGGGGTCTCAGCCGGGGCAGCGCTGGCGTCGCTTCTTGGGGCCTCTCCAGACGTTTAGCTCCTGGCAGCCAGAGCGCAGTGACGACTACAATGGACATATGTCCCCAAGACAAAAAAGAGAAGCAAACTTGGGCGTTTACACAGACAAACGCTGCCGAATGGACTCCTGCTTTGACTTCTCCCTCTGTAAAAAGAATGGCTTCAAAGTGTATGTATACCCCGTTCAGAAAGGGGAGAAGATGTCAGAGAGTTATGAGAATATTTTATCATCCATTGAAGGCTCCAGGTTCTATACAGCGGACCCATCACAGGCATGTCTATTTGTGCTAAGTTTGGACACTCTGGACAGGGACCAGCTCTCACCTCAGTATGTCCATAACTTGAGGGCAAAAGTTCAAAGCCTACCTTTGTGGAATGAAGGCAGGAACCACATTATTTTTAACTTGTACTCGGGCACATGGCCAGACTACACGGAAGACCTGGGTTTTGACATAGGCTATGCCATGTTGGCGAAAGCCAGCATCAGTACAGAAAACTTTAGGCCTCATTTTGACGTTTCTATCCCCCTTTTCTCCAAAGACCATGCAAGGACAGGTGGAGACAGGGGCTATCTTAAACACAACACTATCCCCCCTTTTAGGAAGTACATGCTTGTTTTTAAAGGCAAGAGATACTTGACTGGAATAGGCTCAGACACTAGGAACGCTTTATATCATGTCCACAACTCTGAGGATGTGGTGCTGCTCACTACATGTAAACATGGAAAAGACTGGCAGAAGCACAAGGACGCCCGCTGTGACAAAGACAACGCAGAGTATGACAAGTAAGTGTTTTGTTCAACTTCACACTGCTGCTCAATAGTCAACAACACATTTGAGGTGGATATCATAGTATAAAGGGGTTCATTTATTATTCAGCTATTTTTTCTAGTACGCTTCTGCACTACATAGTTGTCAAAACGCCTTCGGTTTTGTTATTTTTGTAGACATCTCTCATCTTTGATGTTGATTTTTTTGCTTCTCTACAATGAGGCAGGACATTGTGAGTGTTTCTAAATGTGGATGAGCTAAAGCACATGTTCTGTTTAATCTCTACAGTGGCCTTTAAAGTATTATAATTTCTGTTTTTGGTGATTGGTCATTTGATGATATTTTAATATCAACATGAAGTATAAGTTATAAGTAAAGGTGAATGCTTTACTGGATTTGGATACTCATTAGTTTCAGTTTCAGTTGAGATTAAATTTCTATCTTGTGAATTGAATAAATCCCAAAACTAATCTGACAAGTATTTTAATCAAATGTAAATTGTGCTACCATGGGCCCTCAGATCAGCTGATGTTATTATTGCTGACCACAATGTGCAGATAATAGAATACATTGACCTATGTGGTATTTATGTCTGGCTGTCATGTGCTGTCACTAGTGTATGGTGTGATGCGGGCTATTCCTCTGTGGCTCTTTGGGATGGATTAACTGGGACAAAGCTGGTGCCAGAAAGGGGAAGCCACTGAGTCCTGTTTGTGTAGCCATTTCCCACACAAACTCCAAGTGCCCCACTTGACCTCTCCCAAATGTGTGGTCGCTTATGGGTTTTACTGCACAAGACTCAGAACCAAGTGGAATAGTATATACTTTTTTCTTATGTTCACAGAGTTATGTAAATGCTAGAAAAAGCTAAATCTTCATTGCTCGATCCTGTTTTTGTAGGTAGAGGTATCGCCTTGATGCTTCATTAGTTGGCACAGCAGCACATTGCATTCTTTTCACACAGAAGACATGAAGCTCTTTTTATTGCTTGAAGCCAGCTTGTGTCTGCTGCCAACTTCTGCCAGCACTGATATGATTTCACACCGTGAGATGGGTGGCACCGAAGCCATAACCCAAAGGAAAACTTAATCCTCCAGTCTCTAAGTAGTGTTATAAAAGCAGGTTTTTGGATATCTGTTTCTCGTACCAGCTTAGCTTCACTGCAAAAGAATAAAGAGGCTCACTCACCTGGAGTCAGCCTACTTTACACTCACACTAGTTATTTCATAAGATCATACATTAACAAAAATAACAGAAAATTGTGAATTAATTTTCAACTGTATTTTCTATGTTGAATGTTTCGCTGACCTAATTGAACTCAGACCTGCTACATGTCTGGCTTGCCCCCGTCAAGCTCATGGCAGTGCGGAAAAGGGAAGTTTGTGGTCAGAGGAGTGAGTGGGAATTGAGAACCCGGCACTTTTCGTATAGAGTATAGATTAATATTTGTTGTGGTTCATGATTCATGTCGGAGTTGCTGTGAAGTGGACTGTAAGCACAGTAAGACATGTTTGAATAACTTTCTTGCAACGGCTTGGAATACATAATATGGCCTTCCTTCAGTTTGTTAGACTGATGTTCTTGCAGGGGTGTCGTACTGGTTCCAGAAAGGGGGCACCTGTGGATTAGGGTTTTGGCTTTTGTGAGAAATAACTGCGTGCAGAAGTTCCAGTTGTAAAACTTTCAGAGTAGGTTGGTATGGTAAATGAAAACACTTCAGTGACACTGCAGTCAGATCATGAAGCTCTGCTTCGAACTCAGACAGTGCAGTCTATGGTCTAACTGGGTGGAAGTGATCGTTTATGTACTGTTGCTGTTCCCCTTTGTGCAACAAATCCCCTTTATCCCCTTCTACTGACAACAAGGAAGTTGTGAAAGACTGCATGTAGTCTGTCATCATAATAACCATGTAACAAGCAAGTCAACTGTTTTGTGTCCGGATGTCTACTTGTAGCACTTTAATGTACTGCTAATGTATGGACACAGTATTATTTGTTTAATCATTTGGGCAGACTAATAGACCCGTAAGTCCATTCCAATATTGATGAACAGGGATGCCAGCACTCTGCAGATGTCTCGGATAAATTTTCTGGTGATGCTGATGCTTTGAGCCAAATATGTAGTCCCTTTTTTACTAATTTGAAATGAAGTAAATCAGATTATTTTGAATTTGGGGTTTAATAAGCTGTAGTTTTGCAGCCTTTTTAAACCATTGATTTTCGATCAGCAAATAGACAAATCACTTGCAAGTAAATCTTGCATAATTCAAATAAAGGTAAAAATATATATATTATTCGTATGCCTCATATCTCAATGACTGCTGCAGTCTTAACAGTTATAATAGATGTGTAGATGAAGTGAATTCTGAAGATTCCATGCTTTACAACAGGACTATACAGGTTTGTATTGTTGGACAAACTGATTAGTTAACTTAACCAGGGATATAATAATAATTTATATCCCAGGGATTTAAAAAAAAATGTGGCTGATTACCAATGATTGGTAAAAACACTACATTTATTGTTCCCCATTTTATAAACTGTTACTTTGAACTGTTTTTTTTTCCAGAGACAAAGTTCATTTTAGACTTTTTAGACTTTTTATTCTTCATCGGATTTATTATTTGTTATGATTGTTAGCTGAATTCACCATTGTAAATTCAAAGCAGTAATCGGTTAGTTAACATTTTGCTTGTCATTGTGGTTTACATGGTTGCACTGCTCCACTGTGTAGAAGCATGCAATACTGCTTAAAAAGGAGGAAAGCTACTGCAGGAGGCAGGTCAGATGCAATTTTAACCTCAAACTGAAAGCTCTCTCACAGCTTGTTTCCAATTAAGAGGCCCTGCCAAGCGCGAGAGTACAAGAGGGATAGAGCAGGGATAAACTTCGACTGACTTGGGCTGAGGGAGTGTAGTGACTGAGAAAATGAGGGAAAAAGGAAAGTTGAAAAGAGGAGTTAGAAAGGATGCATGCAGTGGGGGTTTGAGCAGTGGCTGGGCTCACATTGGTTTGCTAGATATATTTATAGACTTACAACAAGGTTTAATCCTTAGTATTGGCGAAAGCCCCCGGCAAAGGGCTGCTGGCCAGGTTGATGCAAGCTTCAGTGGTCGGGGGGAATTATAATAAATGGTATTTTATGCTGGTATGGAGTTTTATTTGATATGCATTTTTAATGTTTCTTGTCTGTTTGGAGATATGTTTGCATCTTAAGAAGTAAAACACTCAGGACCAAGGCCTAGGGCTGCCTACCATTAGATTTTTCTCTGGGTATTGGTACTTTCGATATCTGCGTTTTGGTGCCAGTCTCTTAACAGGTATTTTGTCGGTTCAATATTAAGTAATTTATTCAGGAAAATTAGCGAGAACACTGCACGTGAAGGACATTATATATTGGCCAAAAGGGATTTTGCTGTCTCAGTGCAGCTCTGTAAGGACTGGTTTTATTTTGAAGTGTGAGCACACACCACACACTCCTCTATTTTCCGGGTGCGTAAAAGCACTTTTTTACATCCACACCTTGGCTCATTGTGTCTTACAATGAGATTGTAGACTTTTCCAGAAAAAATAAAATTAAGAAATTTCTGAAGAGCTGCTCAGGGTGCACTGCCCTCTACACACCACACAGTGTACCTCTTGTTGGCCAAGCACCCTCGTGAGCACATTTTCTTAAAATATCTCAATTGATAAATATGTTTATAATTGATTATTTACTTATGAGTGGTTCTGAGTAGCATGTTGAGAAAACCCCAAATCTTTAGCATTTGAAAATTACACCTAATTTTAAAAGCCCAAAAAACTAAACTCTTAAACAAAACTGGGAATGTGTGTCGATCACAAGTTGGCTGTCACATGCAAGTCAATTTGTTTTCATTTCATAATATTTAGTTTTGCCTTTGTAATGGCCATACTCTCCACACACTGTTACCACAGGCCAAGCTGGAAGCGGCGGAATGGTGCAGGGTACACCACAAGAGTGTTTACTCATCATCAACCCCAACTGACATTTACATGACCACAGCGCTTTCTGTTGTTTGGCTTCTTTGACCTTTTTGTGTTTGCATTTCCACAACTTATGCTAGTTTTATATTTAGTTCAAAACACTCAAAGCTGGCAAATCAAAAGCTTGTAAGGGGCTTATGCTTCTGAGCACACTTGGATGGTTTTTTATGTCATGTTTGAGTGTGACTTTTTGCATTTAACAAGAGGATGCAGAAGCATTCTGCCCTAATCTGTCTCTGTTCTGATTGTTATAAAATGTGTTTGCGGCGCTTAATCGTCCATATCTTTTTATTAGACCGAAGGGAGCAGTTGGGGCAAAGTGGTAAACTGGCAAAAGGATTAGAGAGCTTATGGTGAGTGATATATGGAAGCTCATACTGTTGAAAGGCCGAACTTCATTAGATTAGATATAAACAAATGTATATAACATTTACTTTCACAATACATAGACAACAGAATCCATGCAAAGTACTGGGCCTTTGCTCCTATCGGCTACATGCTTCTATCAAGATCAGAGCTCTCACCAAAATGTTTCTGCGTTAGAAATTATTTGCATCACAGCTTTGATCTGACTTCAGAACCTGGCACTGATGCAGATGTCACCGTGTTCTCTTGCATGGCAAAAGAGCTAGGGCGATGCAGCATTTGCAACCATCTGCACTGATCACGAGTGTAACTGCTGTCGGCCCGGCACTGGCAGAACCCTGAAGATGGTTCCCAAGCAGAGAGTGAGTCACTAGGTCTATTCAGCAGTTGTGATGTCACACAACATTGCGCATCTTTAGTCAGTGCTTAATTGTTAAAGCCCTAATTTGTAGAACAAACATTACGCATTTCCTAATTTTGGTTGATTGGTCATGCTCATGAGAAGAATCATATTTTGTAATTTACAAATTGTCTAAGGGTCGACAACACACATCTTTTAAAAGTTTTTGACTAAAGTCAGGCTGTTCTGAGCTTTACCTCAATATACAGCATGTCTATATTGGTGTAGCTGAAGATTGCTGGAT